GAGCACTGAGTTATGTTATTTGGAAACTAATTTGACAATAAACTATTTGTAAAATAAAAAAAAAAACAAAAAATTTGTGCATTCCCTCACACATTTCCTCCTTTGTGCAGTATTTCCTTTTGCTCGCAGGAGGAGGTCAGGGACTTTAGAGTCCCTCCTTCACGATGGGAAATAAACTCTTCCTTTTCTTGCCTGGAGACTCAGCTTTATGTGAGTCCTTCCCATACCTGGGGTTAGGGCCTGCTCTGTCTCACCGCCTTCTTGTTTTTGTTAAATTTGTAGGTCTTTCTGGGACTAGGTACAGCACCCTGACAACCTTTCTATCTTAAACCCCTTACAGCAGAGCCACTACATTACAACCACTCCAGAAAGCATTTGCTGAAGGACTGCCTGAGAGGCCAGAAGGAAACGCGCGTGCTTTTCTCTGTCGAGTGCTTTTGTCTCTGTTTCTAAGAGATTTTCAATTTTAAATGTGATTGTTGAGTACATCTAGTGTCAAGTTGAAACCCTTGAAATCGACACCACGAACAAAACAGTCTGACGGCAACACAGCAAACCAGCCTTTGTACACACTTCCCTTTGCTGCCTTCACTATTAATGAACTCAGTCTTGTTAAAATAGATTGGCTCCATGAAGTTGAGAATTTTCCATCTAAAATCTGTTTCCTGGAGATAAACCCAGACCGTGTGACAGTTTATATCAGATTATACTTCAGGAGATGTTGCTGCTCTAAGATTGGCCTTTTCCTCCACCAGCATATGTGAAGGTAGAGGCAGGGTTGCACTCCTGACCCCTAGTGATGTCTGAGCATGAGCTGCAATGTTGGTGAAGCCATATCCTGGAAGGTCACCTTTCAGGATGATTGTCTGTGTCAGGGTACCTTTTGTACTGAATATCAGGGCTCCCCATGGAGGTGTAAGACTAGAATAGGTGTAAGACTACCCTGCTTCATCCTGATGGGTACAGTTGGTCAGACATGGTTTGTCACATGGCTGAAATGAGCCTTCACCATTACAAACAAAAGACCAACTCTGGGAGCACAAAGTGCAATGATATTTGATGACTTTATGATGGAGTAGAAGCAGATGACTAGAAAGACTGCCCCAAAAGCAGAGATGTGGCAGCAGATAGAGGTTGAATTTTCTTTTAACTTAAATGGGGTGTTTGCTTCATTTCTCTGATGGTGATGTCAGTTTGTGCATTTATGGGAGAGGTGGGGCAAGGCATCTTTGCATAGGTCTTCAAGAGTGCTGGGATGTAAAAAGGCAGAATTTCTGAACTTTGACTGTTTATATGTCTTTCCCATCTTAGGAAGCTGAAAATGACACACTGTGAATTGGAGGCAAGGAAGAATCAGCTGGCAGCTGCAAGTAAAATTTGAACATAACTAAGGAAGAAATAAACAAGTACAAGCAAGTTCAGCTACTAATTACCAGCAGCTCATGAAACCTCTGTTCATTTTTTGTTTTTAACCTTTTTACAATGTTTAGACTCAGCATAGGAATATAAACAAAAATTCAGAGGACATATGCCTAGAGTATTAACAGATCAAAAAGGTCATGTGTAGAAAGAACAAAACGATTCAGTTTCTAAACATTTGTGGATCTCAAGCAATGCCCAGACTGTGGAAACTTCATCCATGCCAACGTTCCTGGGGGTGGTGTCCACTGTCATAATCTGTAGGAAAAGCAGTGTGTTGTAGGATGAATGATACTCATCCACATGATGGTGACATTTAATGGCCCTGGTCTTTGCAACCCTGGGAAACATGGTGAGGATATAGGTTAAAGGAGAACAGAAGTTTGTGATAAAGACACTTGTCACATGATGAATTAGGGGAAGATTGACAAGGGGGAGGAATTCTATGAACCCTACAGGCATGGAATAATGAGTATGTAGGAAAGGATGGAACAATAGCTTTGAGCCTACTGTACATTTGTAATCATGTGAAAAACGTTTCATGTGTAAGAGTAAATTATATCAGAGGACAGAAATGAGGTTGATGGGAACATGGGCAGATTATTTAAAATCATACCCAATATTGGGCCTTATTTGATGAGAGCAGTTGTAACTCACAGGCAACAAACTGAACAAGCACGAGAACAGCTGCAGCAGGCACAGCTCACCTTCAGACCCCAGGTAACCTGAGTTCTGCCTGACATACTGAGCCCTTTGTACCTCATGCGGCTGAGTGTAGTCGCCCTCAGAATCCCTATACACGGGCTGTTCATTGTTGGCATTTTCAGATTGCAGTTCGTGAGAAGAATGCTCAGGACAACTGGGGAAGGGTTTTCTTTTCCCTCCTCTTGTTTTGGCCCCCAGTCTGGCACGACTGAAGTCGGATGTGTTTCTCTCCCCCAGAACAAGACTCAGATCTGGGAGAGGGAGATGGTGGAGCAGAGCAGGGAGGTCTCCTACTTGAAACACAGGTGTGGTAGTTTGACTTGCCTCTTTATGGGTGTTTTGAGGGATGACGCCCACGCTGTTTGTTGTCTAGTAGAGTACGTGGTGTTGCAAAACTTATGGAAGTCTGTTCTTTTTCTGTATCCAGAACTAGATGGGATGAAAGGAAAGAGGCTTCCTGAGGGACGCACAAGGCAGAAACCAGTGCCTAGAAGGCCAGAGACGCAGGCCCCCCGAGGAGAGGCAAGGAGCACATGGTACGTGCAGCATCCTGATTTCTGCTGCGCAGCCTGTTCTGATCATCGTGTGGCCTGGAAAGAACCACAAGCACTAACAGCAGGTCGTCCGAAGGGGTGACAGGAGGGTGTTCTCCTCTGCTGCCCCGGGCAGCAGGGCACCTGTCCCTGTGGCTGGTGGAGCTCACACCCCTCCCCTGACTGCGGACCCTCCCAGCTCCTCCAGCCTCCCCCTACCTGAAGAGATGAGCCTGGAGGGGATGACAGGGCCTCATCCTCGTTCCCACCTTGATTCAATGTGGAGACTTTATGTTAGTTTATTTGAGGAGAAGGTCATTTAGTTACTATTTTAACATTCTTTTTGTTTTATTTTCTTGTGAGCCATAGCCCTCCCTTCCTAAATTCAAGTTCCATATAGCTTAGTCCTCTGATGTTATCAGTGCAACTCTGCAGCTTCACTGCTAAATTCCCAGAGTTTTCCTTTTCTCATTGGTGTAATATTGGTCTAAATACATTTCTATTTAGAAATACTTGTATAATAACTGTTCCCATGTGGAAGGCAGTGTATAGATAAGCAAAAAGATTGTACAACCCACCTGGAGCCTGAAGAAACATACCTGTCTTCAGGATTCATTGATGATATATGTCAAATCAGTATTCTCAGTTTTATTCTTTTTGAAGTTTATTTCTTTTTATTGAGAGTGAGTATGTCTGCGAGGGATGGAGAAAGAGGCAGAGAGAGAATCCCAAGCAGGCTCCACACTGTCAGTGAGGAGCCCAATGGTGGGCTTGAACTCACAAGCTGTGAGATGATGATCATGATGAAATCAAGAGTTGGATGCTTAACTAACTGAGCCACACAGGTGTCCTCATATTTATTCTTAGTCTGTAATGAAATAGTGATTTCCCATGATGCACAGAGAGAGCTCTGTTTTACTGATGAATTCTAAATTGCTAGTTGATCCTGACATGTCTACACTTATTTGTTTCATTATGAAAAACATGAACCAGGGCACCATGGGGTCTGCATTACTGTGAGGGGATGGTTCTCCCCCTGACCAATGGGGGTCACCTGAGCCATGTGGAATTACCCGCTGCCTCTGGTCAGGGACCTGAGTGTAGAGAAAAGTTCAAGATATGTGAAGAATGAGATGAGGGCTTGTTTTTATTCCGCACAGTCCACTAAAACCAGAAGAAATCTCTATCCCTTCCAGGGCCTTTAGCAGATCCAGAAACTGGTGTGACCTCTGTGAGTTACAGCAGCTCTGACTCTACCAAGAATGCAGACAAAGACAAGGTAAGTGCTGAGGCCATTCTCAGTGGTGACTCTTTTGGGAAACTCTCATCTTTCTGTACAGCATGCTCTCCTGGCCTTGTCTGTTGTGTGTTGTGTGATATGTCTGCTTGTTGTTTGTTTTCCAAGGGCACACTCTTATCCTGGGAGCCCACAGCCTTCGCTATTTTCAGCCTGTCGTCTTTGTATGGTAAGTTTAGAAGACCAAAGTGCTTAGAGGCTGAGAACCTTAAGACTAGCCCTGTGTTCCTGGAAATAACGAGAGGAGGATGACCCCACACTCCAAATAGAAGTCTCCTGGCCTGGGTGACTTCTTCCAGACCTCACCTCTGTGGGAACAGTGTGGCTGCCGTGTCTTCCTTCTTTTTTCTTTTTTTTTTACAAATAGTTTATTGTCAAATTAGTTTCCACATAACATCCAGTGCTCATCCCCACAAGTGCCCTCCTCCATGCCCACCCCCCCCCCACATCCAGCAGTTCTCAGTTTTTGTCAGCATTCAAGAGTCTCTCATGGTTTGCCTCTCTCCCTTTCCCCCACCATTTCCCCCCTTGTTCCTCCGTCAAGTTCCTCCTAATCCTCCTATACGTGCAAACACATGATATTTGTCCTTCTCTGCCTGACTTATTTCGCTCAGCATAACACCCTCAAGGTCCATCCATGTTGCTGCACATGGCCAGATTTCATTGTTTCTCATTGCCATGGAGTATTCCATGGTATAGATAAACCACATCTTCTTGATCCATTCGTCCGTTGATGGACACTTAGGCTCTTTCCAGGTTTTGGCTATTGTCGAGAGTGCTGCTATGAACATTGGGGTACATGTGCTCCTATGCCTCAGCATTTCTGTATCCCTTGGGTAAATTCCTACCAGTGCTATTGCTCGGTCACAGGGGAGTTCTATTGTTAATTTTTTGAGGAACCTCCACACTGTTTTCCAGAGGGACTGTACCAGTTTACATTCCCACCAACAGTGTAAGAGGGTGCCCGTTTCTCCTTTCTTGATTCTGGCCAGGAGATTACCCTGTTAAAAGTCTGTGTTATTAGTTGAAATTCAAAAGTGCAAAAAGACATCATGACTGCAACTTCATACTTTGTGCCCTGTGCAGTTGAGAGTGGCCCGACACAAAGTCAGTGTCATCACTCCTCACCTTCCCATCTTTATTGGCAACTGAGTTGTCTGGAAACCTTCCAGCCATACCTTAGGTAAAAATCATTTGAACACTGTCTCCTTCAATGGTGTTTATAGGAGCTGTTTCTGGTTGTGTCCCCAGTCACTGCTAGAGCTGATACAGTCTCATGACATATCCCAGGAGTTTTATCCCAGAAAGCAAAACACATTTGCATTATGTGAATTTCTACCTCTTTCTTCTGTTGGGCATAATGACTCTGGGTCCTGTAGTCTGCTTAAAATCAGAATTCCCCATGAATTAAGATGAGCACACCTGAGCTTTGTAGACATTCACAAGTACCTTGTTCCTCACAGCTTTTCCCTGCAAGACTCCAGGCATCCTCCACTCCCCAGAGGTCCTCGAGGCCGCTGACAGCACTTGAAGAGGGAAGACCCCTTTCTCAGGCAGAGGAACAGAGGGGTCACAGTGAGGGGCTGGCTGGAGAACTTTCCCCAGGAGTGGCTGTGATTCCAGGAGCAGAAGAGGAGCGGTTCGTTCACACTCATTTTTTCCTGTGTGTGTGTTCTTAATATACCAAACACAGCGCATCTGCAGGCGCCTCCGAGGAGGGATGCAGGGTGAACCTGGACATGGATGTCTGCCTGGAAGAATGCTACTTCATTAGTCTGTAATTACCTCTGTGAATCCTCTAGGATAGGACCCTTGCCATTTGGCTTTTGCAAACATGGGCAATGATGTATGGTGACAGTAGTTTCACCTCTTGCATCTACTACCCCAAGCTGTAAGTAGTACCCAGTGGCAAGGACAGAGTTTTCAGATACTGATGCTACTCTCCTGGATCCTGGTGGCAGAGAAGGTGGCAGGTGCTGACACATTCTTCTCTGGGTTTCAGCTGCTTTTGGTGTTGTTCTCTGGCAGATGCACATAGCTGTCACTTCTGTGCTGCAGGGCAGTGTGGCTCTATGGGGACCTCCTCCATTAACTGGAACATTCTGCATGCCCTACCCTGGAGGCCTACTAATGGGCTTCTGGGCACATCCATCTCCTGAACCTTGGTGGCCCTGAAGACCACCCTGAGCCCCTTGATCTACAACACTTGGTAAGATGATCTGGGCAGTAGGAGTTGACTTGCAAAGCACCCTCTTATTTTTGTTGTTGTTGGGTCTTTGGCCAAAGTGCAGAGGTGGTACCACAGACCATTGCTCTGCAAGGGAAAATGTGTCTGCCGCCATTACCACATTCCTCAGGTCTCTCATGATCGACAGATCATCTTTGTCATGGTTGGTACAGGTATCTCTTGTGGAGAAGGAATGGGGCTGTCTGCAGAGAAGCAGACATAGAGGTTCAGCAGAACTGCCCTGTCCCTCGTCCATGTGCTGAGCACTGTGGGGCATGACACACAGCCTAAGGTCTATCCATCTACTTGTGCCCCCAGCCATCCATACTCATCCGATGAGTGATGTATTAATACATTGGAATCAGGGCTTTTAGGAGTCTTCATCAAGTGATAAGGGGTAGTTCTTCAAGTTCTTCCTGGGGATCACCTGAGGCACGTGGGATACCCTCTGCATGTGATTTGAGATCTGACTGGGGCCAAGATCTTCAGTTGTCTGAAGAATGAGGGCAGGGTTTTTTGCTTTTGAATCTCCAAACAGTCTACTCAAATCAGGATAAACCTCCATCCCAGATCCAGAAGCAGGTGTCACTCCCGAGAGTGCCATGAATACTGACTGTCCCCAAACTGCCGAGAAGCACAAGGTAAATGCTGTGGCCATTTTCACTTGTTTTTCTGGACACCCACATCTTTCTATACAGCACGCTCTCCTGCCATTGTCTCTGGTTTGTGTGTCATATGCTCTATCTGCTGGGTTTTTTCCCCAAATGCACAACCTTTACCCCCAAGTCTACAGACATTCTTGTTTTCCACCTGGCATCTCTCTGTGGTAAGTTTAGAAGCTAACTGTGCGTAGGGGTGAGGAACATAGGATCTTCCCAGTGTGTTCCTGGACTAAATCAAGGAGGACGACACCACACTCCCCTTGGAAGCCCCCCGGCTCGCCTTATTCCTTCGGGGCCTCCTCAGTGTGGAATCGTTGCTCTTGCTGTTTCTTCCTTTCCTGTTTCTGTCAAGGGTTTTAATGCATTCAGGAAAATCTGTGGATCTCCTTAGAATCTCAAAATACAAACTGCTTTCACTACAACTTATGTGTAATTTAGAGTGTTCTTTGATGAAAGAAATTTCATACCCTTCAACATTCCACCTTTTTTTGGTAAACGTGCTGTCCAGAATCCCTTCGGGTGTGCCCTGGGTTTAAATATCCTGAACTCTAAGAGGTGACATATTTGTTGCAGAAAAAATGCACCGAAACTTCAGTTGTAAAGAGAAAAAACCCAAAATTACCTGCGTGGCCAGTCCCCACCGTGTCCTTCACTTGTGTTCACATGATCAGGTTCTGCTGTGTCCTTTGTCATGGGTACAGCTAAAACACAAAAAAAAAATCAAAGTGCATTTGTGTTAATTCTGTTATTTACAATTTGAGCTCATTTTTCCAGAGGACACAATTACCCTGTAAAGCGTGCTGTAGTTTGGCTGAGAAGCACTCTGCATGAAAATGCATTAGCTGAGGGGCGCCTGGGTGGCTTAGTCGGTTAAGCGTCCTACTTTCGCTTAGGTCATGATCTCGCGGTTCGTGGGTTCGAGCCCCGCGTCGGGCTCTGTGCTGACTGCCAGCTCAGAGCCTGGAGCCTATTTCAGTCTGTGACTCCCTCTCTCTCTGACCCTCCTCTGCTCACGCTGTCTCTCTCTCTCTCTCTCTCCCTCCAAGTAAATAAATAAATAAATAAACATTAAAAAAAAACTTTAAAAAAAAAGAAAATGCATTAGCTGAATCCAACTAACAGGTATAGGTTACCTGCTTCTCTAAGAGCATGCTTTTCCAGGTCCTCTGCTGGACCTCAGGATCCCCATCGCCCCATGTGTCTCTGTGCCCACAGACAGCACTTCCAGAGAGGAGAAGACCCCACTGCTGGGAGAGAAGCACATCGGCAGAGGCAGATCTTTGAGCCATGAGGGCTAGGGTTCCCTGTGTGGAGACTGGAATTTCCATTCTTTCTCATTCTGCAGTTCTTCACATACAAATATGCAGCCTCTGAATGGAGGGGAAAGGTGATCCTGGACTTAGGAAAGCATCTATCTGGAATATGCTAATTTGTTAATTTGGTATTAAGTCCCTAAATCTTCTAGGAAGAGACGGCTTGCTGTTCTACGTTTCCAGGCATGTGGGGACACTAGTTTATGCCAATAACATCCATTCACCACCCCAAAGCTGTAGGCGAAACCCAAAGTATGGGCGGAGATTTTGGCACTGATGCTACCCTCTTGGAACCTGGAGGTGGGGAAGCTGGCGGGAGATGAGCTCTGCTTCTTTGGGTTTCTGCTCTTTGCCGGTGTCAGTGCCTGTTCTGTCCTATGACCACAGCGTTCACTTCTGTTCCACAGGCCATTATGTATGCAAGAGGGCCTGGTCCCGTCCCTGGATCGCCTTGCAGACCCTACCCCATGGACCACTCTTCATCACCAATCATGGGCTATATGGGCCACCTCCCCCTCCTCCACCTACTGTATTTGTTAAGATGACCTGAAATGGGTGAGTGACTGGTAACACATATTCATCTTATTGGTGGGAATGATGTAGAGATGGTTGGGAGTCTTGGGATCTCAACTGCCAACCTGCCTGAGGACATTGAACATATCTCAAGTTTCCCAGGACATACATACATTGGGCAGTGTCACTTCCCTGTATGAAAGTGAGCTAGAGGTTTCTCTGGTCAAAAGGAAAGAGGATTTTTTACACAAAAGCAGACGTAGCAGCAGTACTGGTGGGTATTTTGGAGACACTGTGTCTTGAGTTCTGTACAGAATGAGGCGTACCCCTAACTTTACTGCTTCAGGGGTCCTGTGTGAAAGGGATACATGCATTAAGTGACTCAGATCTTGTGATCATCATAATCAAAGCACCAGTAAAGGAACTGGGGAAACTTGAATCACTCAGAAATAGAAGACAAGTTGTAGACAGTAAGCAGAGTTTGAGGAGGTGCAGAGGGGAGGAGGTTGGGGTCAGTGAGATCCAGTTGGAGGTCATTCCTGGGCAACAACCTGAGCAGGGAGTGTGAGGTCCACACAGAGCTGCCATGTGGGGGTCACTCTCCATGCACAATGCAGGGTTCATCCCTGGAATGTCAGTGTTGCCAAAGTACACCTAGGTAATCATCTAAAAAGATGGTTATGTCCCTGGGTTTTCTGAAGGTTCTAGATATTTGTAGGGGGAAAATGCCCTGGAGATATGGGAAATTTAACTTGGTCTTATGGAAATGCGTGTCTGCCCAAGTTCATATCCCTCAGTGAGATAGGATCAAGATCAGCTGAGTGCCTGCATTGGACTTCAGTCTGGGTTCAACCTACAATTCAGGGTTGGCCAGAAGCCACCCCTGCTGGACCCCTGTCATCACCCTGATTATAGCTTTCCATCTCCTCAAACTTCTCTCACAATATCCCTAGTCTTTGCCCATGTTCCTGCTGTCTCAAGCCGTCATACCAGTTCTCAGTGAGACCTACTCAGAGCCTCAGCTGTGAAATAGGGGTAATATTTGTGTCAAGAACATTATTAAAGAATACATTAAATACATAAAACATCTTCAAAATGTCTGGGAAGTATTCACTCACCTTCTCACAGTTTCAATGAAGTTATCTCCACACAATGATCATCAAAAAAAGACGTTCGTGGAAATTCATTCAACGAAGACTGTTAACACCTCAGTCCAGGAATTGCTGTTTGAAACGATAAGACAGAGACCCTCATTTTTCTATTAAAATTCATGTCCTACCAGACAAAGAAAGAAAATTATGAGAATGTGTATATTCAGAGATCTACATCTGAGAGCTAAACACAATAATTTTCCATTACATGCAGCCACACATGAAAGTGTTCACCTGAGGCCACAGATAAAGTACAGAAGACAGAGTGCATGTAGGAAAACATAAGATCATAGGGAACTTAACCAAAATCTCTTAAATCTCACTGATTCTGAAATTTGAAGAGGACTGTGCAAAGTGACCGACTACAGTGATTATATAATTTTTAAAAGGTGTGTCAGCTCTGCCTGAATGCTTTCCCTACACACCCTGCCCCCTACACTTTGTCCTTTCTATGACCCTTAATAACCCTCCACTGTTCTGTCTCTGTGTCAGCACCTGCTTCTAGGAGGACCTAGTCTCTTCACTCCCTATCACTGCAGACAGTGGGGTTTCTGTACAGACAGGAAACAAACTGACAGAAATGGTGGTGATGGAGGATAGTAGCGAGATCACCCTTTGTGCAGGGGAGCCCAAGGGAGTTTTATGGGGTGGCGGGAACTTCTTATATCTAGATTTCAGGGGTGTTTGTGCTCATTTATCAGAGAAATATTCACTGTCTCCCTGGTGCCTCAGGGTCAGACAGACATGTGTCTGTCTCTAGGATATGGCTGACTTCTAATGGTGGGTAAGGAGGAGGGACCAGCAGTGACTGTGGGAGATGGCATGTGTGAGGAGGCCACACGTGGAGTCAGACCCTGGCCCAGGAGGTCAGCTCTCCCCACACAGCACCATGTGCAGGAGGGCTCTAGGGACCAGAGATATCTTCATTGGTACCATGAACTCCATAATCCTCCTCCAGTTTCCTCAATGAGGGATGGCCAGGGCACAGGCCAGCAGCTGGAGGTCACCCTGACAATTGGCTGGAGTGGATGAGTGGGCCTGGGAGACTGAGTCAGAGGGAGGGGCAGGCAGAAGGTAGCGGCAGGGAGTTCCAGAGAAGAAAGGAAGGGAAGGGAAGAAAGTGGACTTTTCTCTACTGGCTTCACCTTCGTAGCTGTGTGAACAAAAGGGGATTCTTGTCTCTGATGGTGGCAAAGAGGGCTGGCAAAAAGACAGAGTGACATTCTCAGCTCAAGTACCGAGAGGATATCTAACTTGTTTCTGAATGCCTAACACAGGAAGCCCGTGCTTTGTGTCATAATTTGAACTGCAGCTAGTGTCATTTAGTGAAAATTCAATTATGAAGCCCTCATCCTTAAAGTAGCACAACAAAATTATATGAACAGAGTGATACAATAGAGGATAAAGTCCAACGGATGCAATACTCACAGGAATATAGACTATTGGAAACGGAGGTACCCCAATGGAGGCATTCAGACATCTGGACAACACCTGAAAACGTAAAAAAAAAAAAAAAAATTGATTCCTTACCACAAGAGAAACATTAACATTAGGCACAAACAGATCATGATTTAAGGTTTAGAAATAAACTTTATAACTTCATGGGGTTATATCCATGAGATCAAGTGTCATCAAAGGATACCCTTTAAGGCTATTTATGTAAATTATACCTCATTAAATATAGTTTCAAAACATTAAATACTAGAATAAAATGTGGGTTAGTTCCTTTCTAATCCTAAAGTGCATGGATGATAGGAGTCTGTGTAACCACTTATTAAAAATCCAAAAAATTAAGACATTTAAAAAATTTATAATAGAGTAAGAGGACCCTGAGCTCACCCTGCCCCATGTTTTCAACTACATAACATTCACATCCAAGTCCATAAGCCAGAGAGAGATCCAAAGACTAGCAGAACAAACTCCACAACTCAACAGAGAGAAGCTGCACCTGAACTGTTAGGAAGGTCAGAAAGGAAGACAGCTGCCTGCAGAGAAGGCAGAGAAAATGAGCCCTGACCCCAGGGAGCTCAAACAGGGAAGACTAATCCCCGTAACATCTGGCTTTCAAAACCAGAAGGGCCGAATTCCTTGAGTTTGGATCCTGGAGCTTAGGAGGTCAGCTGACTCAGCACCGGGTGATCCAGGAGGGTGAGTGATAGCCAGGACCCTGCCTGTGTGGAGAGGCAATGTAAACATGGCAGTTTACACTATGCCAGAGGCCACAGGAGACAGATGTGTTCATGCTGATTTCTGGCTGGTTGGGTGACTTCTCCAACGATGAGGGAGCTCACAGGCCCCACTTTTCTACCCCACTCCCCAGAATAAGCGCAGAAGCACCTACCAGGGGGTTGGGCTGCACAGACCCTTGCTACCTAACCCGCTAGCAGTGTGGCTGTCCCAAGAGATCTCTGGGGGACTCACCCACTCGAAGCCTGCTGGCCTCAGCACTTGGGTCAGGGCAAACTCTCTTAAAGCCATATGGGCGCCTGTTCCAGCCTGCTGCGTGCAAAGCTGCCACGGCACGCTGTGCACATCTGCACCGCAGATACAGCTGTGTACACCCAGCCACCCTCCTATGTCTCCCCCAGCCACCGAGTCACTCTGCACAGCCTCGACTCCCCGGATGCCCTGCTGCAGAGCCACCAGCCAACAAAGGACAGCTACAGACTCATCAGCAGAATCTTGGCAAGCCAGAAGCGAGTGACCTGACCTAGTCAAGGTAGAGAATGGAAAAATCAGCAGCCAAGAATACTCTATCCAGCAAGGCTATCATTCAGAATAAAAGGAGACAGATTTTCCCAAAAACTAAAGGAGTTTGTATCACTAAATAGGTACAGCAAGAAATATTAAGAGGGATTCTTTGGAAAGGAGACCAAAAGAGGCAAAAAGTAGAAAATACAAATCCAGTAAAAATGAGTATTTCTGTAAAAAAATCAACCAAGGAACTCACAAAAATGGATATAAAATATAATAACATGTACCAAAACATATGGAGGAAAAAATAATGGGTTCAAAGTTAAATGACCATCAACTTAGTACAAACTTCTAAATGCAAAGAAATTATATAAAAACTTAATGGTGGCCATATATCAAATATCACTCATAAATATGCAAAGAATAAGGAAAAAGAGATCAAAACCTATCACTAAAGAAAACCAGAGTAGGCTGCGACTTGAACTGAAGCACCAAGCCTGACCGGCAACTACCTCTGCACCTTAAACTCAAACCTCCGGGGAGATCACTGCACTGCTGGCTGAAGAGATCCTGGGTCATCCTGGGATCCTACTCTAACCCTAGCCCCACCCCTACACGTGACTCGCACCCGCGCATGCGCCCTTACTTTAGACCTCCAGGGAGATCACGAGGCTGGTGTGACTTGTGCCCTGGCGACTCTCCTGGGAGGAACTCTATCTCTAGCCAAGGCTGTCTCCCATGGGAACCCAATTCCTAGGTCTCAGAAAACCAGGGACACGCGGCCTGGAGGCGGTGCTGGATTACTCGGCGTGGAACAAGGAACATCACCATGCCATTGCCAAGCCCCGATGGAGCTGCATGAGGGGTGTCCTGAGGCCCGTCTCTAACCTAGCCCAAAGAGAGGGCTGGCCTTGGAACCCCAAGCCTAAGCCTGACCGGCCCCTCCAATGCACCCTCAACTCCGTCGTCTGGATAGAGCACTGCACTGCTGGGGGTTCAGTGCCTGGGGTCTCCTGGGATAGAACCCTAACCCTAAGACTAACCCTAAAGCTAACCCTCCCTCCATCTGTAAACCTACAGCTAACCCGCACCCACGCATGCACCCTCACTTCAGCCCTCCAGGGACATCACGGGACTGGTGGCACTTCTGCCCTGGCGACTCCACTGGACGGAACCCTGACCCTAGCCAAGGCTCTCCCCAGGCGGACCCAACTCCTAGGTCTGAGAAAACCAGGGACAGGGGCCGAGAGGAGGTAACAGGCTTAATCAGCATGGAATGTGGAACATCACCGTGACATGAACAAAGCCCGGAATGAGCTGCACAAGGGGTATCCTAAGGCGTTACCATAGCTTGGCCCACAGAAGAGACTGACCCTTGAACCCAAACACTAAACCTGACCGACACCTTTCCCTGCATCCTCAAACTCAACCCTCCAGGGAGAGCACTGCACTGCTGAGTGATCAGTTCCTAGAGCATCCTGGGATCTTACTCTAACCCTAACCTAAATACTAACCCTAACGCTACCATTACCCCTAAGCCTCAGTCAGTCTGAAACCCTATACCTGACTCGCAACCGCGCATGCGCCCTCACCTCCAGGGAGATCACAGGGCTGGTGTCCCTTCTGCCCTGGCAACTCCCCTGGTTGGAACCCTCACCCTAGCCAAGGCGCTCTGCACATGGGGACCCAATTTCCGGGTCTCAGAAAACCAGGGACAGGGGGCCCAGAAGTGGTGGCGGCTTAAACAGCATGGAACATGGAACATCACCACGGCTTTAATAAAGCCATGATCGAGGTGCACAACGGGTGTCGGGAGGGACTTGAACACTAATCCGGACCACCAACTTCCCCCTACAGCCTCAACTCAGATCTCTGCACTGCTGGCTGATGAGATCCTGGATCGTCCTGGGATCTTCCTCTATCCCTATCCCTACCCTACCCCTACCCACATGCACACGCACAAGCATACACAGCAGCACGGTTCACAGTAGCCAAATGGTAGAAAAACTACGCAAATGCCCATCGGTGGGTGAATGGAGAAACACACTGGGCCTACCCATAAACAGCAACATTATTCTGCCATAGAGAGGAATAAGGAAAACGGCGCGGCTGTGGAGCACAGTGCGGGGTTCCTCAGAAAGTGCGCACAGAACTGCACCCCTGCACACACACACCCGGAAACTGAAAGCAAAGCCTTGAGCGGATATTCACGTTCCCTAAGTCACAGCAGCTTCTTTACAACAGCGAAGAGATGGAAGCAACTCAAGTGACGGCTGACAGATGAATAAATGCACAAATTGTGGTCTACACACAACGGAATACAGCTCAGCCTTACAAAAGACCGGAATTTCCGCTACAACACGGATTGACTCTCGCAGACATGCTGAGTGAAATACGCCAGGCACAGGAGGACAAATACTTTCCTTGTCCCAAGTGAACCCATTTTTCCTGGTAGAAGCTGGAGGTATTATATTGAAGGTAAACAGAACTAATAAATGCGTACACTCGCAGGACACGACACGGACACAGAAACCCACGTGCATATCGACACACGCATGACGACCCATCGGAAAGAGACACGAAGAGACGGACCCGCTGACACCTATGTCAGAAGGAACCACGTGCCCGGGAGGCACTCTGAGCGAGGAGGGGACAGGCCTGCTCTCTAGGACGACAGGACGCTGGTGACAGAAACGCAGGGAGACGCGCGGGGACGGAACGCCACTCTGTGCTCCTGGACGCGGGGGAATCCGTCCTGTGACAACGTCCTTCCTCCCCCTGGGCGATCGGCACAACCGGGGCCATCGGCACCGAACTCCTCACGACGCCTCATGACGCCGTGTCTCACGCGGAACCGGCCCCCCTACCCGCGGGGCCACAGCGGCGGGAGCGCGAGCACCGCCCGGGCACCTGCTCGCGGGCCGCAAACCGCGTGAGGACGCGGCGGGAACCGAGTCGGCGCGGAGCAGAAACAGCGACGCGCGGCCCCGCGGCCCCTGAGCTGGAAGAGCCGACGGCCGCTTGCACAGCCCCCGCTGGACCCCGCGTCACCGCGCACGAGCCGCGCCAGGCCCCACCCCGCCGGGCCTACCCCGCCAGGCCCCCTGAACACCGACGCCCTCAGCGGTGTCTGCTCCGGAAGCTCCCCCTCCTCCCCCCGCCTCGCTTTCTCCTCACCTGCTCCTCCCGCGCGGCTCCTGAGGAGGCCGGTTCGTGTCTCGGGCCACGTCCTCCGAAGCCCCATGGCGGGACGTGGGGACGCCGAGCTCCGTCACGCGGGAGGCGGGGCTGAGTGCGCGTGAGAGCGTCGGGGAGCGGGGCTCCGGCGCCCCCTGCAGGCAGTGAAGGTAGCGCAGGACACGCTGCGCTCCGGGGCCGTGGACGCGGCGCCCCCTTCTGGCCACCTGCTGAATCCATTACATTTTGGAAATGGCGCCCTATCCCCCAACGTGGCCCCAAATAGGTAAGAAACAATTAATTGGAAACCATATGAAATGTACACATAAGCTTTACAACCTACCCCAAAATTCATTGGAAACTGTAGATAAATTTAAAATGGAAACACAAGGTGCAGCTCTTCCTGCCCATGGGTCCTGTCCCTGTACCTTAATAAAATCACCTTTTTGCACCAAAGATGTCTTCAAGAATTCTTTCTTGGCTGTAGGCTCTGGACCCGCGAACCCCACTATCACCCCACCCCAAGCTTCATCATTTATATGGTGCCCATCCTTTTCATCTGGGCTCTGAGACGGTGCAAACCTGATGAGTACTATTTCCTTCCTTTACCCTCATTTAGGGCCTTTTGAGAAGTGTGGTCTTTTTGGAACATTTTCATATTGATTGCTAAGGCTACAATCCTCTTGCTTGTGGCTACTCTCAGGGAAGGAGAAAACCTGCCTTTTTGCTGGAAGTTAGTACCCTGTCCAGAATGGTCACATCTTTAAGGAACTCAGACTGACTATGAAGCACAATGTTAATAAAGCCCCTTGAAAATGTTACCCTGATACCTTGTTTACAGAGTTCCCAGTCATGAGGGAGCATAAGGGAAGCTGATAGGCTGCTAACAGCCCCCCCCCCCCCCCCCCCCCCCCCCCCCCCCCGCCAAACACACAAGGTGGTATATGTGTGATATTCCTCAGGCACTCCTGGGTGTCCAAAAGGAAGGAAAGGAAAAAAAAATTGTTAACTGATAGAGATCATAGTCCTGCAGGACTGAAGTTTCCATTCCCCTCCATAGTGATGTGGGAAACAAAGGCAGAAGGAAATGGTATGGAAGATAGAACTAAATTTCCTTATAACCTGCAGTCCACTGACAAATACTTGAGGCTGGCAGAGTAAAATGTTTCTCCAGGAACTCCTTACTGTCTTAATGCTAATTCTTTGCTAGAGGGAAAAACAACCCTAGCTTGACAATACCTAGGCCTCCAGTATCCTGGGAGTCTTCTTTAGCATATGAAAATCTCTCTGGAAACTTCTCTTGGACTTTACCTCACCCCCAACCCCACAGTATAAAACCAGTCTGTTGTCATGATCCTGGGGCAGCTCTTTCTGCCCATGGGTCTTGTTCCTGTGCTTCAATAAAATCACCTTTGTGCACCAAAGACGTTTTCTAGAATTATTTCTTGGTCTTCAACCCTGGACCCCACGAACCCTACTATCACCCCCCCAAAAACCTCATTATCCCGCACCCTTACCAGGTGAGTAAAGAATGTGACTTCCTGGCAGGTGCAGGATACTCAGGATACTGTGGGGACTGCATGAAGAAGAATCTGGAAGACAGATGATCCTTTCTACTCAAGGAGGTTCAGACATGTTGCCTATCTTGGATTGGCTGCCTCTGCTTGTGGTGACTCCTGTATATAAATACCTTCCCCATATGACCAATGTTGACCCATAGGTAGGGGGACATCTATATGCCCCTACTCAGCAGGCAGAAGTTACAGAAGATGAGACCTTCTGCCCTCAGCAACCTCAAATATTTTAAGGATCAAAACTGTTGGGGGTGGGGTATGATGTGGGAAACAAAGGCAGAAGGAAATAGCAGATAAAATTAAATTTCCTTATAACCTGCAGCACATTGACAAATACTTGAGGCAGGCAGAGTAAAACGTTTCTCCAGGAATTCCCTACTGTCTTACTGCTAATGCTTTGCTGGGGCAGGAGGGGGGGAACAACCTTAGCGTGACAACAGCCAGGTCTCTACTATTCTGTGAATCTTCTTAACATATGAAAATCTCTTGGGGCGCCTGGGTGGCTTAGTCGGTTGGGTGTCCGACTTTCGCTTAGGTCATGATCTCGCAGTTCGTGGGTTCGAGCCCCGCGTCAGGCTCTGTGCTGACTGCCAGCTCGGAGCCTGGAGCCTGTTTCAGTCTGTGACTCCCTCTCTCTCTGACCCTCCCCTGCTCACGCTGTCTCTCTCCTATAAATAAATAAAACATTAAAAAAAAAAATTAAAAAAAAAAAAAAAAAAGAAAGAAAATCTCACTGGAAACTTCCCCTGGACTTTATATCCCTCAACTCCATGGTATGTAACCAGTCTCTGCTCCTGGTCCTGGGGCAGCTCTTCCTGCCCACTGCTCCTGTTCCCCTGCATTAATAAAATCACCTTTTTGCAACAAAAAATAAAATAAAATAAAATAAAATAAAATAAAATAAAATAAAATAAAATAAAATAAAAACACAAGCAGCATCTGGGTAGCTCAGTCAGTTGAGCTTCTAACTCTTGATTTCTGCTCAAGTCATGATCTCATGATTAGTGAGATCAGCACCACAATGGGCCCTGTGCAGACAGTGCCAATCTCTCAAAATAAATAAAATTTAAAAAATAAAACTCAAACACAAAGACCAATCCAAAAAAGAGAAAAACTGATAACACGGACTTTATATACTTCAAACATCTACCCTGATAAACCTTGTTCAAAGAACCAAAAGACAAGCCACAAACTGGGAGAAAAAATTTGCAAACCACGTGTCTGAATTCAGAATGTACCCTGATCCTAAACCCTAGCTGTCTCAAGATCTTCTACCTCTAGGCTGGAACCCACAAACTCTAGTTACTCAGTTTAGTGCTCTCCCTAATGAGTCCTCTGGGTAACTGGGTTCTCCTTGTATTTTCTACTGCACACGTAAACCATTATCTCCAATGACTCAAGGCTCACTCTAACTTCCTATCCTCATCTCCTAAACCCTTACTCCCTAAACTATTACCACCTGATCCCTCTAATCTGTCAATAAGCAATCATCCCCAAAACCTTCTAAACCTGCACTCAATACTGTCACTCCCTTACCACCTAAGCAATTAGCCCCTCAAACCCTTATTCACTCACCCTTAAACCATCACCATCCAAAGTCTACTAGCTCCCCACACACCACACACTGAACTTCCTAAACCCTCTGCCACAAACATCCACCAGGTCACCCCCTCATCCACTCACCCACAAAAAATATTCCATCTCATACCCAATAACACTTTTCTTCCCACCTCCTTACAGTAAAACACCCAAATCATAGGGTGTGTAACCAAAAAGCCATATGCCATACACCATTAAACATAAGAATCCTACACCCATAATCTATAAACCATACACCATGAACTCTAACTAGATACTGTAAATCACAGGAATAAACCATAATCATGATCCATATCATGAACCAGGACCATAGTCATAACCAAAGTCTACATAAATATTCACAGCAATACTGTTCACAATTGGAAAATGGTACAAAATATGGAAACATGCCACGATGGGTAAGTGAATATACAACATGCGGTAGATTAATAAACTGAAATGTTCTTCCAGTATATCAAGAAATGAAATAAATTTGTGCAGCTACTGAAGAAAACTGAATGGGGGAGGGTTCCTCAAAATCTTAAGAATAGAATTAATATACCACAGGGTATAAACCCGAAATATCTGAAAGCAGGGACTCACTCTGTATTTCTTCCCTCAAATTCATAGCACCATCATCCACAATAGTCAAAAGGCTAAGCTGACCAAAGTGTCCACAGAAGGGTGAATGGGTGATGTATGCACAATGGAATATTACCCAGCCATGTGAAGGACTCAAGTACTGATTTGTATCACAATATGGATGAACCTTCAATTCATTATGCAAGGGTAATAATCCAATCACAGAAAAGATTATTATAAGATTCTACTTCTTTGAGGTATCCAAAATAATCAAATTTACCTACAAAAAGTAAAATATAGTTGCCAGGCAGAGGGGAAAGGCGAATGGGGAGTTAATGTTTAATATACACAGACTTTGACTAGGTCAGAATTTAGACATTCTCAAGGTGGAACATGATGATCTGTGCACAATGGGAATATATTTGTGGCATACAACTGTAGACTTAAAAATCTTTTAGGGGAGCCTGAGTAGCTCAGCCAGTTAAGTGTCCAACTTCAGCTCAGATCATGATCTCACAGTTTATGGGTTCAAGCCCCTTGTTGGGCTCTGTGTCAACAACTCATAGCCTGGAGCCTGTTTCAGGTTCATCCTCCCTCTCTCCCTCTGTCCTTCCCTTTCTCTCTCTCTCTCTGTCCATCCGCTACTCATGCTCTGTCTCTCTCTCTCCCAAAAATAAATAAACATTTAAAAAACTTTCAAAACATCTTTTAAATGGTCACTATTATGTCTTATAAATTGAACCATAATTAACTGAAGTACTAAAACATGTCACAACATGAACGAAGATTAAAAACATTAATTGACAGAAGTCACACAGAAAAGGCTGCCCAGATTGGAGCCCTCTGTGATCTTTAAATCAATCATGGTTGTGAAGCGATTGAAAATCTCAGAACAGTAAAATGGGTCACAACAGAAGTCACTGTCACAGAGTTTGGGCAGGTGATGACAGATGAAGTGGCCTCTGGATTAGATTATAATGAGGAAACCATAATGATTTCCCTGTTTGGGGGTTCTATGACAGTTCCTGGGGAAGGTGTCCTGTTTTGAGTAAAAAACAAACAAGTATGTAGTAAGAAGTGGCAACTGTGTAAAATGACAGCTGGTGAAGTTGAGTGTAGAGATCCAATAGTATTTCTACTGTTACTGCAGGCTTTCTGTATGTTGGAAATTCATGGAAAATACATTACTTCTCAAAACAACTATATCAATAACATACCAAAAAAGCATAGAACGCATCAAATTTCATGATAGAGGTCAAACTCTATCTGGACACAGTTTACAAGATGTAACATATTTCTAAAGGACACTGTGGTAGAATTATATTAGTGGCCACTATGCTGTGGATGCTGTGGATGACTT